CAGCAGGAAAAGGGGCTTCCAAAGCTTCAGCTTGTCATGTGGAGAAGGGAGAAGCATTTCTTCCCCACAGCATGTGGGTGTATATTACTTGTAGGTGGTACTGTCACTGCCTGCTGCCTGTTCTTAGGAAAAGAACCGAGAGCGCTGTCTGGGTTGCACTAGATGCAGCTCCCAAAATACTGTAGCTGGCAGCTAATTTAGGGTGCCTGGAATTTGGGAAATGCTGGCTAAAGCAAATCTCACTCTGTGTTGTCTTTAGGCCGGATTAGGTCAGACCATAAGGTCCCAGAATGGCTTGTCTCCAAGGATTAGTCGTTTCTCTTCCCTCTCTTGAATCTGGTTTGTGTAAAAGCCAATGAGATTTCCAACTGCTTCGGAGCTTCCGACTTGAGTGGAGAGGGAAACCCTGAGCAAAAGGGCAATTTCATGCCCTGCGTAAAGCTTTTGAGTTGCTTCACTTCCGTAGGGTCTTCCCTGTTCTGGAAAAGCATCTCTGGCAGCTTTTAGGCAAAGGTAGTCCCTGCTGTCTTGGTTAAATACACCAGCAGGCTGAATAACGAGGCCTGCAATGAGGTTTTATGTTTTGTGGTCTCGTGTCACCAGTCTTGTCTGTGCAGATATGAAACATGCCAGACTTTGACCTGGATTTAAGCTGGAAGGAGAGTCCATCCCTATTGTTCATGACATAGTTATTTGTGGACCTGATTTCATCTCATTGACTGAATCTCCAGGATGTAACGCCTGGCAGTGCCAGCAATAGATAAGAAAGTCAGAGGGCTTCTGTCTCCCTCTGATTTCTCCAGTTATTCTCACATCCTTCTCTCTGTTTTGTCTTTCTCTGCTGATTTCTTCCAGTTAAACCTTTCCCTCTTTTTTTTTTTTCCGTTTTGCAGCATAGGGGGATTTGTGAAGACCTGGCTTCCCTTTGTCCTCTTCTTGGGGGTGATCGTGACCGTTGTTCTCACACTTCATTTGCGGTGATGGCGGCTGTGAACCCCCCGTTCCACGGGCACACGAGGGAAGAAACTGTGACTAATCCAACGAGGTGGAGCCACGGGACTCTGGAAGGTGTTATCCGGGGAAGTTGGCAACTCCACTCCATTGTAGCAGCTCATCTTTGTTTCCTGGAACTGGCTTCTTTTCCTTCTGTTCTTGTTCTGTTGATGGTGTCTCCCAGTGTCGGGGCATCCTGAAGCCTCCTGCTCCCTCTTTGAACGTGCTCCGTTTCCACAATTTGGTAGATAAAAATGCAGTCAGGAAGGGAGAGGCGTAGGCACCTTCGCTTTCAGTGCCAAGTAAAAAGCCGCCGGGCAAACCCTGCCTCCTGGTTCAGGAGCACAAGCAGATACACCTTGTAAGGTTCTCTCTGATCACCTGGTTTCATCCTCTTGGCAGACCTCATCAGATGCTTCCTCAGATTTCCTGAGACTCCAAGAAGGACTTGTCATTTCCCCGTTGCACGACTCTCCCGTCGCACATGTTTCGAAGTGGAGGTGTCGGGGTTCCTCCTGAGGTGTTGCAGCACTCACTGGCGGTCTCCCCGGCGGTGACAGGAGGGTGTTGGTGGCGGGACGCTCCTCTGAGGAACGCTCTGTGGCAGGGCAAATTCAGCTGGTCCTGCTGGCGAGCCCAGAAAGGCAGGAAAGTCGATCGGCTGGCTGATGGCACTCTGCACGCTTTCAGTCGCCTGTTGCAGAGTTGGGAGTCTGCTGCAAAGTCTCTTTTAGCTTTTGCCAGAGAAAATACAGCTTCCCTGCTTCTCCCTGCTCTCTGAATGTCTAAAAATTGTCTTTACGCTTCTCACGAGCCACTTGCTTGCCTTTGATTCCTTGTACTTTGTGTGTTGCAGCGTACCTGAGCCCACAGAGGTGGTGGCAGCAGCAGGTACATGTTTCTGGGGCAGAAGACTTAACATAAGGTTTTGAAATCATCCGTGAGAGCTGCACCTGAGACTTGAGCTTAGTGGGGCCATCGGAGGTTAAAAGATGAAGGGACTGGAAAGCATCTCTGTCCTGGTTGGGCTTTGCAGCAGTAAACAGGGGCACTGGCTCCCTTGTGGCTGGTTCCAGGACGGTGAACAAGAAGGTCTGTTACCTTCCTTTATGTGCTTTGAAGAGCACACCTAGAGTAAAAGCACTTTGTAGGACTGGCTTTGATGTAAGAAATGCTGATCTGGCCATGTTGGGGGTGTGGTGGCCCTTTCGAGCCCTGGATTGGGGAGGACTCGGGGTTTTTCTTGAGTGCTGGGCAGGAAGTGAAGTTGGACGTGACCCAGAGCCTCTTCTGGGGCAAGAGGTCCAGTTCGGTGTTAGCTGAGACTCTGCCTTGCAGATGTTGCTCTGCATGGGCCTCTGAGCCAGGTGGTTTTTTACAGAAATGTGTGGCTGAAGGCCTGTGTGCCGTTGAACGGATCCCCTCTGACTGCAGGGAACGGGGAGTAGCTTTTCCACTCCTGCCTTGAAAGGCCAGCTCTTTGCTCCGCTACGTGATGGATTTCAACCTCAAGGAGCGCTCGGGGCCAGCAAGAAAGCTCTTCTCCGCTCCCTGCCGGCCCTGTGCTTTGACTGGGAGGCCAGTTCACCATCACCCTGCTGGCCCTCAGACCTGTCCCCATGTGCCTCATCTGCTTCCATCTCCCCAGCTCCTCTAGCTGTAGGGGAGGCTTGGGGACTCTTCTTGCATTTCTGCATTTCCTCCTTTTTCTCCATCACTTTTAAATAGCCTCTTAAACCTCTCTTTTGTCCCTAGCATCCTGCTGTCTGTCTCCTCTGGTGCTGGCCTTTCTGGGGTGGCTGGGGATGCTGAGCCCTCAGCACCCTTCCCCGCCTGCCTGGAACTGAAAGTCGTCACCGTCTGCTCTGCACAGTCGTTTCAAAGCTGCGTGGAGAGCGGGGCTGGAGGCTGCTGGGCCCGGGGCTGATTAGAAAGCCAAGATCTTGATCAAAGAGAACCTTACGATGAAAGGTTGGTGTCTTGCCGAGCTACCCTGCGTGGCTGCGGTCTCTACCCGGCCAGCCTGCTGGCTAGCACACCCTAGGATGAGCCAGTTGAACAAGAGAGATGAGTCCTTTGCTTCTGTTTTTAGTTGAAGTATGATTTCTCAGAGTGACCCGCCAAGGATGCGCTCGGAGTCCCTGGCCCCAGGGCTGAAGCCAACCTGTCTTACGCTGTAGCAATAACCTAGAGACTCTTTAGGCCTGTCTCGCATGTCGATTCAGTGTTTTATCGATAAGCTATACAAGCGTTGCCAAAGCTGAGACTTGAAGTTGTTGGGGGAGGCTGGGAGCAGAGCTGCTCTGTCCCTGCTCCTGGGACTTCTGAAAATGCGTTGAGTGCCATTCCCCACCGTGAAAATCCTTGTCGTTTGCTCCTCATGCTTTTTTTTTGCCAGATCGGGGTTTCGAATGGAGACTTAACTATGAGCAGCAAATGGGCCTCGTTGTCGGTTGGAGTGCTGGGGAGGGAACGCATCCTCCTGGCTCCACCGACGGAGGACGGCTCCCAGCATCCAAAGGAAACGTGACTACGGGGAGAGCAAGGCTCAAAGCTGAGGTACGGCAGAGCTACCTGCTTGCCCAAGGAAAGATGGTGCCCGCAGAGCTCAAGTGCTGGGAGAGGCAGGTGGGCTGCTCACATCAACGGGTTTTCCTTCGCTGCGGTAGCGTCAGCCCAGCACAGAAAAACCCCAGTGGTGCTCAGCACAGCGTCCGGCAGCGCCGCGGTTCTGTGGGGAGGGGGCTGCTCCCTCCTGGCATGGGAGGTGGCAGAAGGGGAGGGTGGGCAAGGAGCTTCCTTCATCTCGCTACCCACTTCATCGCAGTGCCCTCTTCAACTGGCCACATGAAACGCTCGCCCCATCCTTTGTTCCGGGTGCTGATTTTATTGCTCCCCTCCTTTCCCCTGGGCAAGTGCTTGTGCTGCGGAGCTCCATGGCTGGCGAGCCCTCCTCGTACCCTCACCCTTTGTTCTCTTCATCTCTGTGGGGCGCTGGATTACTTTGTAAATATTTAAACTCTGCTTCTGTGGTTTCATAATCCTGACGGTAGGGGAAATAAACTTATTTCTGTGGATGTCTCCAAGTGCCGCATCTCGTAGTCGAGACTCTCCTCCTTCCAGCCAGCAGCAGGGCTGGTTTTCCCCCCCTCCTGCCCTGAGGCAGCGTGTCTGGCTTGCAGGAGCCTGAAGCTCCCACCCCTTTTACTTTATGAATTTGCTTTTCTCTCTGCTCCAGGGCAAAACTCACAGCCCTGTTTTCACACCCGGGGGGGTCGGGGGGCAGGAGGAGCCCGATTGCTGCAGCACAGGAAGCATTTGCAGGCTCGAAACTGAGGACCTGCCAAGGGTCTTTGTTACATTTGGGGGCTGTGCCTGCTCTTGCCCGTTGGTGATCCCAGTTGGCAGAGCCCTGCGAAGGAGGGGGCTTTCTTAGATCAGCCCCCTCTTGCAGGTTGATCCCCTTTACCTGGGAATAGCTTCCTTTTCCCTTCAGTCTGTGTTCTTGGCGGCTGGGAGCACTGACCACCTGGCTCCTTTCCAGCGCCCCCCCCAGCTTCCCTTTCCCTGCGACCTCTTGTGGA